AGGTCTACCCAAAGAAGTCCTAAGTGATTGGGGATCCTGCTTTACGTCAGGCTTGATGAAGGAGATCAGCCGCCTGTTATCGCTGAGACAGTTGACTAGCACGCCCTACCATCCTATCGGTAATGGACTTGTCGAGCGGTTGAATGGGACTTTAAAACAAATGGTCAAGAGGATGTGCCAAAACAGTCATGATGCTGGGACCCGTACCAAACCTCGTTGCTTTTCGCTTATCGGTAAGTTCTACAGAGTACCTTGGGGTACTCCCCGTTTGGTCTGCTTTATGGGAGATATGTTCGGGGTCCCATGGCAGTTTTAAAAGAACTGTGGACCAACGAGAGCATCGACCCTAAGAGGAAAACAACCTACGGGCACATGGTCGATTTTCGGAGGAAACTTGAAGACGCGTGCAAAGTTGCACACGAAGAACTAAGAAAAGCTCAGAAGACACAAAAGGGATATTACGACAAGAAGACTCGTGTACGTGAACTACAAGAGGGAGATACAGTGCTGACTTTGTTACCAACTGACAAAAATAAACTGATTCTGCAATGGAAGGCACCATTCCGGGTGTTGGAGAGAAGGAATGAACTGGATTACGTAATATACCTTTGAGGAAAGATGACATTATTCCACGTCAATATGCTCCAGAAGTATGAGGAGAAAGAAGTTCTGGGCGCTCCGGAACAAGTCTTGGCTGGCCTCGCAGTAGAAGAGGAAAGTGAAGAACAGGAGGTCCCCGTCGGCATTCGACGTCAGCAAGACCACAATGATGTGCAGACATCAGAAGAACTCTCAGAGGAACAGGTCACAGAGGCGGAAGAATTGCTATATTCATTCCAAGAAGTATTCTTGGATCTCCCGGGTCGAACCAATCTCGTGAACTTCCAGCTGAAACAAACGACAAATGTGCCAGTTCAAGTTTGACAGTACCCACTGGCCTTTGCGCTACAGGAAGCAGTAGAAAAAGAGATAGGTGACATGCTGAGTGTCGGCATAATCAAGAAATGCGACTCGCCGTACAACTCACTCATAGTGGTAGTAAATAAGAAAGATAAGACGACCCGATTATGCACGATTTTTGAAAACTAAATCAGGTATTGGTACCTGATTGCGAACCGATACCTCGAGTCGACGTGATGTTTGCTCAAGTCAGCACGGGGAAGTACTTTTCTAAATTTGATTTTGCAAATGGTTACTGGCAAGTGCCAATAGCACACGGATCGTAGGACGTGACTGCGTTTTCAACGATGTCAGGGTTATATTGTTCGAGTTTATGCCGTTTGGCATAAAAGACAGCCCCTGCTGTCTTCACTCGTTTAATGAGGCAAGTTCTGGAAGGAGTACCAAACACTCATTATTACTTTGATGATGTACTAATCGCAACTGCCAGCTGGGAGGAACACGTGAAAACCCTGAGACAATTTTTAACGACGGTAAAACAAGCTGGGCTTACCATCAACCCGAAAAAGACAGAAATCGGCTTCTCCCGGACAACATTTCTCGGACATCCAGTTCGACAAAGAACGTTTGAGCCATTAACAGAGACTTTGGAGAAAATTCAAGGCGCTAAGGGACCACAGACAAAGACGGAAGTCCGATCGTTCCTGGGACTAACGGGATATTACCAGGAGTTCATTCCAAATTACGCCGAGACGTCGCTCCCTCTGACGGAACTGACAAAGAAAAAAACGCCCATCAAAGCCATCTGGGAAGACAAACACGCGAAAGCTTTTGAGGAGCTATAGAAATACCTTTCCTACAAACCGATTTTGAAGCCTCCGGATTTTTTTAGGGCTTTTATCCTGAGAACAGACGCTTCGGGAAGATGCTAGGAGGCTGTGCTAATGCAAGAGCACGATCGGGTGGTGCACCCTGTTGCGTATGCTAGCTGGCAGTTGTTGCCGCGTGAAGGGGCATATTGAACCATAGAACGAGAGTGTCTCGCTCTTGTATGGGCGGTGCAGAAATTTCACATATTTCTGTTTGGAAAGCACTTTACGGCTCAAAGTGACCATCAGCCCTTAGAATACATTCACTCCGCCAAACAACTCAACAATAGCGTGCTGAGATGGAGTCTGCTGCTGGCTGAATACGATTTTCATGTCATGTACACTTGGGGCAGTCAGAACTTTGGGGCTGACTATTTGAGCGCACTATACGCTTCCGTAAAGGTAGACATTCCTCAAACAGTTGCGAGTGCTGCTATTTAAAGGCCCGTTCACACGATGCATTCTTCTGGCGCATCTAGTATCGCGAAACATAGTTTCGCGAAATGGTTGCGCCGTCTGAACGAGTCCGAAAAGGACGCGCGCATCTAAATAAAGTTGCGCGCACACCTCGCTTCTGGAGCGAGCTTTTGCTGAAACTTTGCCGAGTCCTGTCAATCACTCTGAGGGCGCCGCCAATGGCCGCTCAGAAACGCTCTCACGTGGCCATTGAGGGGGGAGCGAGCTGTTTGAGAAGACCACTTCACTGCCGGTGTTGTAGCCGAGCCAAATCCGAAAAAAAACGAAACAACGAACGATGGATACTGCCGGCGCTTCCGCAAGCACGTCAATCACCACTGAAGGAAAAGTGAGTAGCATATCGGAAAAAAATCCAGGATGGACGAAGACGTAATTGGTGATGATGATAATTCGCGTCTATTTTTAGTCATAATTAAGAAATAAAACCTTGAGACAAGGAAACAAAAAGGTACGTACACAGTACCGTTTCAAAACCAGCACAGCGTACAGCTCTCATTTACTTCCACAACAGTCTTCTTCTTTGTCAACCTCCATCCAAATTATACATATTCAACAGTAAATAAAGTAAATGGCAGTAAATGACAATTCAACAACTAGTAAATGACAATTTAAGAGTAAATTAAGTAAATCGAAGTAAATTACAGCTGTATGCTGTGCTGGTTTTAAGACGGTGGTGTGTATGTCCCTTTTTGTTTCCTTGTCTTAAGGTTTTATTTCTTAATTATGATTGTTCACCAGCTCGCCTGCGTTTTGACTCTTTGAATGTGGCGGGAGATGGAGAACACGACGCTGAATGGCTAATGGTGATGATGATGATGTTGGCTTTCAACTGAAGCGCCACTTTATGGTCAACACTCGAACTATTTTCGCGAGTCTAAACGTCATCGTTGTTGCACGTGAAGCGGTACGTGTGAACGAGCACATTTCGCGAAACTTGAGTGTCGCGAAACTGTTGTGCGCCTAAAAGATGCATCGTGTGAACAGACCTTAAGTGAAACAATTGTTTTTCTTTTCTCAAGTGTATAACGTTTTGGTCTTTACTTTCTGTTGTTGGATCTTATTTAAACAATTCTCTTTAAAAGGGGGTGAATGTGATGGATGTGGGCTGAACAAGCGACCAGGAAGACGACGCAGATGAATGCTGTGATCACCTGGTTAATTAAAGATGCAGAAGACTGCAAGACCAGATCAAGGAATGGGAATAAGAAAAAAAGAAGAGGACCACAAGAGAAGAGCGAACGTGAGATACGTTCGAGGTGCTCGAAAAAGGGGGTTGGGCATCGGCACCCGGCTCAACACCAGCCTATGCACCAGCGGTCCCGGCAGTCTAGGAAGATTTCGGACGAACGCCAACGGGTCCGTGGGGACTTTGAACCTGTACACCGCGGATTGCCGCGGTTAGGCTAGCTGCAGCCAGCAAACCTCTGTCTGTGCCGACCCAGCCTGCCAGGCTCCAGAACCAACGTTACGACAACGAGGCTTCTTGGCAATAACATTGTGTGAGCCGTAAGAGAAGTCGGCGGACTAACTTTGTACATATTTTGATGACTTTCATAGCATGTTTCTCTACTCTATTTGACTTTTATTTTTGATTTCTTACTTTGTGAATAACATCTTTCTTCTTAAAACCACCGCTCTAGAAATCTGAGTTCCTTCCTTATCCATTTCCATCACATCGTGTTTAGATGGCCTAAAGTCGGCCTGCTTTAGAGGTATTGCCACATTAATTTACACTGCATATGAAAATTAGTGAGCGCACAGGTTTACTATGCTGCACAAAACATTTGAGGGGTTAACACTTCGTCGATTCGCTTGTGAGGGTTCCGTGAACTGCCTGTGCCAGAGGGAACGCGAACTCGACCGCTTGGCCGCTTTTCAGTGCGATGAGTAAAGATTGTGGGATCAGGGTGCCGGAGCGGCGCCTATTGCCTTTTGAACCAGGCAGGAGCGCGTCGCGCTGAAGCGAGCAAATGAGCGAGCCAGGAGATATAAGATTGCTACAAAAACCACTATAGTTGTTTGTGTATCAATCGCGATAGCATTCGTAAGGACAACCTTAAGTGAGACGTTTAAAAGGACGTCGAGGACGACGTACAAGAAGACGACATTAGAGGCGACATCTCGGACAACCTTTAGGGCGATCTCAAGGATGACTTCAAGGGCGATGTCTCGGGCGACCTCTAGGGCGATCTTAAGGACGACCTCTAGGACGACGTCAAGGATGACGTCCAAGAGGACGACGTCAAAGACGACGTCTACCACGAGTTCTAGGCCAACCTCAAGAACAACGTCTAGGACAACGTCGAAAACAATATCCTATAGGATGACGTCAAAGACGACGTCTAAGACATCCTCAAGGACGACCTCTGGGGCGACCTAAAGGACGACGTCAAAGAAGACGTCCTTAGAAACGACGTCAAAGACGACGTCGTTGAGGACCCCCAGGACGACATCAAGGTTGATCTCTGGGATGACACCAAGGTCGTCCAGTCCTTCAAGGAGGGTACAAATGTGAAGGAGTGTAATAATGTGATCTAAATTGGTGTACTGCGCCAATTTAGATCACATTATTAATCACGCGGTTCTCGGCAGCAGGCACGGCGCGCCGTCAGGGAGCGCAGCTATGCAAATCGGCCGGCGCTCCGGTGCTCTCAGAGTGACGTTACTTCAGTGGCCATGTTTGCGTGACATCGATCGCTCAACTTTGCATCCGCTTACAAGCACGGAGAAGGACGTCATCCTACGTAAAAAAAATCACACACTAAAAAGAAAATGAAACGTTATAGCGAAATTACTTGCCTTTGGGTCCGTCCCTATTTTGAAAAACTCCCTGCCAAGGTTTTCCACAAATATAGTGAGAGTTTCGTCCTCCTTAATATCAATGCTTTTTGTGTAGAACTTTGAGTCAAGAACATCTATACTGCCATTTCTAACGACGTAGGCCCTGTCCTTGATGCCGGACACCACCAGAGTAGGATTCTTGAAGGATCCCGCCTTGGCTGTATACATGACGAAGCCATAGTCCTGGCCCATGTCTTTGAACGTCATTGGGGCGGACTGCTCATACTTTTTGATCCAGCCATTTGCTCTGAAATGGTCGATTACTTCCATGAGCGATACTCCTTCGGTTAAATTTACAACTCCGATATTAAGCTTTGGAGAAGCGACTGGTACGTCTCCCGGTGGCAATGTAGAAAAGTCCTTGATGATGTCCCTTAACTTGTGGTACAAATCCCTCGGATCTCCCGCTTCGGAGAGCGGTGCATTGTAGTCGTAGCTTGTGACCAGTGGAGAGTCTCCTGCTGAGGCTGCACTAAACCCGAAGTTTGTCCCTCCATGAAACATGTAGATGTTGACGGAAGCATTAGTGCGTATTAGTTCCTTAAACGTGGCCATAAATTTAGGCGGAGTACCTTTCTCTTGCGCTTCACCCCACAGAGAATACCATCCTACATATAATTCCATAAAGAAAAGCGGACAACCTTGCGAATTCACGGAATTCATGGCATATCGAACAGCGGCCACGGAGTCCGATGCGTACATGTTGGCAGCTTTTGGAACATCACGAATTCCTCCACACTCATGATCTTTCGCTCTCCAATAATCGGCAGTGAACAAGATGACATCGCCCTCGACGTGTTTCTTGAATATATTGTAAACTCCAGGCATGTAAGCGCTGTCGCACATTTGAATCCCGTACTCGTTCTCGATTTGAAGGGCTATTACCGAACCACCATTTCTGTAGAACGTTTCTTTTATCCTCGGCAACAGTTCTCCCAACCACTTCTCCGTAGCGTCCATAAAAGACTTGTCGGTCGTTCGGAACTTATTGGCCGCTGTTGTATTGTAGAGCCAAGAAGGAAATCCACCGTTGTCTCTCTCACCGCAGATGTAAGGGCCGACACGAAGGATCACCAGGAGGTCCTCTCGCTGGGCTTCTTTGCAGAACTGGATCACATCGTAGTTGTCCACAAAGTTTAACTTCCCAGGCTTAGGTTCGTGTCCACTCCACTCGACGTAGCTGGCTATGGTATTGAGACCTGCCATCCGCATCTTGTGCAGGCGATCCTTCCAGTATGCCCTCGGAACCCTGAAATAATCGATTTCTCCGGAAATGTAACGGAAAAACTTGTTGTCTTTCAGAAAACATTTGTTTTCTTTGTCAATCACAAACGATCTTTCTTGGCATCTCGAATAAAAAACAAATTGAACGAATAGGACTAGAGTCAATGTCCAGGAGTGGGCCCCCATGCATAACCACTTCTTTCTCAGGTAATTTTGTGTACTATATGCCTGCTTCAAAGCCCTTGCGCTCTATTTTTATGATCAAGGCAGTATAAATATTATGCTAAGAGGAACAGGTGTTCGGTTCCTGGCTGACTCTTTTACGCCGAATCGGGCCTTGTAGAGGGGTCTATGTTTGACAACCCTATTAAACATGCCGAGGTGCCGCTGTCTGTAATCAAGGTTGACTATACATGTAAATGTAGAAGTTGAACTAACTTAGGTTCCGTTTGCTATTTTGTTTTTAAAAATATCAAAAACGTCAGAACTGTAAATCTTAGACAGAGACGTGTTACCTGTAGAGCTTTTGGCTTTAGCAGTTCTACGTTTTGCGGTCTTTTAAAGGGCTATTGAGGTGAGGCGAATGACTACGTGTTAATTTCAGTGTTTGAAGTTTTAAAATTCTGCTTTTATGCACGCGGAATTTTTGAAGTTTCTCCTATTCATCTGAATCCCAGTCGAGCTAGTCCACACTGGCGCAGAATCTACATTTGTGAAACAGATATTGCCGCGTGCATGAGCAACGCTTCTCAGCATACCTAGAAGATTAGTGTATATTCTTATTCCGAGTGTAAAATATAAGGAGACCTGAATGGCCCTGCCTAGTTAGTCTCGCCCTAACTTACCTCCGAACTTTCTGGGTCGAATGTTTTAAAGACCGAGTGTGAAAGCCGAGCGCTGTATTTTCCACTCATTCACTCTCGCGCTAGCCAGTTGCCAAGCCGACGCACCATGACGAAGAAGCCTAACTTGAATGTTGACGAATGTTTTGAGGCTTAATCATACAATGTATATTTTGAAGGCCGTAACGGTTTAGCTAAACCAATAATTCAGGAAATCGACCTATTCGCATGTCTAATATAACGTGCAAAACACGTGAACTAGAGCGAGAAGTTTGCGAAACATTTGGTAGCCAAATAAACCACTAAAGTATGTGCTAAATGATACATACAGTTTTTCAAATACCTCTTTGGAGAGACGCATTATATAACTATACATGGCGGCCTACAGAACAAGAGACATGGCGACGAACGCCTGCCAGGGCCACCAGGGCTGACGAGGGCCCGTGCCACATGATGACTTTGTCGATGAGACGCTAAATACGGGCAATCAAAGTGAGATTTTTCAACGTTCCTCATGGAACGTTCACTGAAGCAGTTTTCGGCAAACTGGATTATTAAAAAGGTATTTTTACCACTGAATTACAGCCTTTCTTTTTCGTTGCCAGTCTTCGATTGCCGGACGAGGTGTTTGTTTACAAATGAATATTTCCTCTTTCTGTCTTTCGTTACAACTGTGGTTGCCCGTAATTGAACTCGAACCTGCCCTGAACTCTGCTGCACTGCTTCCGGAAATATGTCCTCAGCGGAGTCGACACTGTCCTCCACTTCCTCTGCCGGTCATCTTTCGTTGATTGGCAGCCACACGTATTGATGTTTCTCATGGAAGTGTAAAGCTACCATTATTTGGGACGGTGGCGCGTCAGTGGGTTTCGCTTGAAGCGGACCCTGTTTTTGACTGGTGCTCTTGGTAAAAAATCCTACCGGAGAAGCCCTGGTATTCACAAGTAGCGCCTCCTCTGTATTCACCGAACACTATTCCATCACCGCCCCCGGCTCCTGCCTGTATGATGATATGCTATGATATAATTTTCGTAGAATATCCTACTCTGTAGAATATTCCATGATATACTTATTTCAGCGCAGGAGAGAAGCGGCCTTGCAGAAAGGCAAATCATTCATACCAGGGGAATGAAGCTCTCGGCTAATTCCCTCCAGCCGTGTATATTTATGACCTAGGTCCGGTGCGGCAAATTGTTTCCGATTACCGCGCTCCCAGCGGGTGTGGGCGGACGTTATGTTGTTTTAAATAAATATGATTAATATAATTTGATCGATATGTTTCACGATATGTTTTGCTTCAGGGAGCATGTCACGGCGCGAGATTCGCACCGCGTTCGTGCGCACGCGGCTTTTTTTTTTTTTTTTTTTTTTGAGGAAATTCGTTGTTTTTGTAATGTGGTCAAGCATGGATTTTCGACATCACCACACCACCTGCTGTGCCAAGTGGGGAAACAATTACTGCCCATAGCCGGGACGCTGATGGTTTTGAGGTTTCTAGTTCCAGTGGACGTGAGGTACGCTCTTTTGGTCTTCTCCTCTTGCTTAAGTTTGTAGTGGAGATGTCCGGTACATAAAACTATTTATTATACCTGACCAGTGACTACAAAAGGTATAGCAATACATGAGCGCGTTGGCCCCGGTGCGGGCGCGTCCCCCCGCTTCCGAAAGTGTAACCCGAAACAGTTTACCTAGAGTCCCTGTATAGGCTCCCTACGGCAGCCAGAGTTGCGTGTTTGATTCCACGTGCCGCGTGCCGCCCTCGCCGCTATTCGCCGAGATCCGATCACGTGAGGAGCCGTATCAAGTGTCGTGCAGCAAAGTAGACGTTGCACGCGCCCCGGCGTACGCTCCCCGGCTTCTGAGCGCGCCGCGCGCCTCGAACGCGCGGCGCTGCTATTCGCCGAATTCAGTCACGTGAGGAGCTGCATCCACATGCCATGCATGAACGCGCAACTCTGGCTCCCATAGAAAGCCTCTGCAGGAACTCGGTGTTTACCCAGACTCCCGCGCCCCCTGGCGGTATACCTTAGGAGGCTCCGGTTGCCAGACGCCGGAAACGAAACTGAAACTAAACGTGTGGTGAAACCGAAACTAAGCGTGATGTCCACACTACTCCCCCTTCCATAAATGTAGAAAAATTAAAGTAATACATGGACAAATAGTTACGGCACAAATGGTAAGGGGTGAGAAATCCTTCGACCACCACGCGTCCACCACTACTTCTCAAGGACATTTTAAACAGGTTTTCAACTAACCTGATATGAAAAGACGGGCAGTTTAGCCACTGTCGCTTCGTCGCCAGTGACAAGCCCACTGGCGCAAATCCGAGTCGGATCTTTCTTTATAGCCTGCGCCTGCAGCGCCGTAGGCGTCGGGTTCCTGTGTGACGATGATTGTGGCAAAGCAGGCACGTGCCCATCTTCCACATCTGCAATCCCGTCGACGCCTCCTCCTGCGTGGCTCCCATGGCAAGCATTGATTAAAACGCACGAGCTCGCCTGCACGTTGATCATTTTTTCACGTGCACAACATCACAATTGAGGTGAGTGCTAAACTTAAAGGAGCTAATAATGGGTGGTATTCACTAGAGACATAGTTGAGCTCGCCGCTGCAGAGCACGTGTTGACGGCGAGCTTCAGCAACTTTTCCAACACGCACATTGCACACTATCAAGATTGTCTTATTTTGGGAGACCATAAATAAGAGCTCATCCCGATCATAAGCTTCGAGCAGTCACTTCAAATATGGCGTCCAGTGGATAATATTACCTATAGGTTATTGTTGACAATTAATTGCCTCAAGACGACGTATGATTTACTTATTTTATGCAGCTGAATCTTCTGTCGCGGAAAACTATTGACAGCGCGTGGGACTGTCGCTACGGCGCCCTCGGCGACTGCAAGCACGCAGCAGCAATCCCGTCTCTCCCGCCTTTCCTTCTCCCAAGGTTGGGAAGGAAACTTGAGCAGGCTCACGGCCGTGGTGCCGTCGTTGTTATGGGAGTCCTTAACCCAGTATACAGGTGCGTTTTCTTTTTCTTCAGGTGGTCATTTTCGTCGTTGCCGGGAGGAATTCTTTCAACCGTTGTCACGAAACACTATACCCGAAAGCTACACGAAACTGTAGGTAGAACGCAGGTTTACAGCGTTGCAAATGGGGGAACCTCGACGGAACGAACTGGCTATCGTTTCAATAGCTGGCCGCTAGATGGCGCGACGTGTCGGGCCGGTGTCAAGCAAACGGCGTGTGCCGCGCGCCATTTGCTTAGCACAACTTTCCGTGGCTGAGACCAAAGCTAAGGAGTTGCCCAGCTTGAGCGCCGCTCAAGCCTGTACACGCGCGGTCTTCACTTTTTCAGAAATGAACCGCGCCTCAGCACGCTTGCTGACGTTGCACGCGAACAATAAATGTGTGAAAGAAAGCAAGAATTACAAAAGCGCGGAAAGGGAACCATTGTTATCGTTTTGCTAGAACGTAAAAGGCGGCGCATTTTATTCACGTTTTATGAGCACGGGTGAGTAGATGTTGAAAGACGTTTACACACCGTTTCTATATTTACGAAATCACAGCCCTGCGTGCTATCTTTCGAGGCCAGCGTAAATTTGTCCGTCGCTAAGAAAAGCGAGCAAAACAGCGACCATACGCACGAACGCTGAGGATCGCAGCGGCCAGAACCTCTTTGTGTACTAAATGGTGGGATATGAAGATTGCACTGATCAGCATGCGATCTTAACGGCTCAGCACGCACATGTACGTCAGTTGTGAAAGCGAACAAAGCACGCGCAGTACGTACAAGCGCTGGAAATTGCATAAGAGTCAAAATTCCCTTCTACCTGCATGATACCGTGACTCACTCATAAATCTGAGGATACTCATTACAGGATCGCATATAAAGACTGAACTTCGTGGAGCGAATGAATTTTAACGGCGACATCCGCGCGGCAAAACTACAATACAACGCACAGTCGTGTATACGTCGAAGCCGAACTCTATTTGAGAGATTAGTGGTAAACGACGCCCAAGCTGATACAGAATGTCAAAGTGTCAGTTACGTGAGCGACTCCACCTGCACGCAAATGACGCACTTCCAAACGCTGAAATACCGAGTGTACTAGCAACCAACTGCACTAGATTAGGCCAGGTACGAAATTGCCCATAAACGCCCCTTGCACGAGCAGCTTACGCCCCTCTCCCCTTGCGGCTCACCTCCCATCGTTCGAAGCGCCACCGTTTTGGGGGCACGGCTGCAATGGTAACTACGGCGTTTTCTGTTGAATATGTGTGTTTTGTGGCATAGCGTACAGATGGCGTTTCACCGTACTCGATGGAGCACGGAGTTTTAAA